AGAAGCTTTTCTGTCCTTAAAAAGTCTTAATTTCACGAATCTAAAATTAAAGCCTTAAATTCTTTAAATAATAATAAGTAAATTGGCTTTAAATACGTAAATCACAGGACTTCAATTTTGGTAGGATTATTTAATAATGTAATTTACATATGTACATTTTATATATGACATCTTTATTTTGTTCTGAAACTCGAAGCAGTTCATGCTAATTACTGCTAACTACTTTAAAGTATCTGAGTACATCTGAATAACTTTGTCTCAGAAGTAGGACTACTTTCCTCTGAGGACTTTTCTATCAGACACAGGTTGAGTTTCACAACTCAACCTTTGCGTTCTGACTCACTGCTAACTAGCGAGCTAGCTAGCTAGCTTTTTTTGCTTCTGTAAAGGTCAGAGGACAAAATTTATCGCCAGCTGGTTAGACTAAGTTTGTAAGTTCCTGTAGGTCTTAAATTTGAACAATGGTGTTAAACATCCTGAAATAAATTGTTGATATTCCTCAGATATCCGAGGAGAAGGAATCGGTTGATCGATCTTCCAGAGGATTACAGCGCTCTCCTGAACAAAGCCAGCCATTTTCAGTAAGGAACCCCGTCATCTCCGTTTGCTTCGTCTCGGTCCCACTCCTCTCACCTGCTGGCTCTGGTCCTTCAGGTGTCCGAAGTCCACTGTGGACGAGAGGAAGCACCCGACGCTGTGCCTGGTCTGCGGCGCCATGCTTTGCTCGCAGAGCTCCTGCTGCCTCAGTCAGCTGGACGGGGAGGATGTGGGGGCGTGCACGGCCCACGCTGCCACCTGTGGAGCCGGAGTGGGAATGTTCCTCAGGTCAGTTCATCCTTAAGCTCTTATTTTTCGGTCGGCGACGCTTGCTGAAGCTCTGGGCTGTAAGTAAATGAGATGTGGCTCGTTACAGAATCAGAGAGTGTGAAATTGTCCTGATGGCCAGTAAGACGCGAGGCAGCACTTACCCCGCTCCGTACCTGGACGACTATGGAGAAACTGACCCTCACCTTGGGTAAGATGGATGTTTCCCTCCTGCAGATGCATCATTTTTACTTTTAGCACTGTTTTATATGACGCAGTATTAGGACCTTTCGAGAAAATAAATAAAATTATGACGATAAAATCGTACTACGAGAATAAAGTTGTACAATAGCAGTTTAAATATGTAAATAATGTAATAATATGAGAATAAACCCATATTTTGAAAATAGTTGAAATGGAATGACAATATTTCAAAATTAGTCATAGAGAAAAAAGTCAAAGTAATAAAAAATAAAGTAATAAATTCATACAATATCATGTAAATAATCTAATAATAAGAGTAAAGTCATATTAGCAGAATAAACCAATAACAATATGAGGTTATGTTTCTGGAATACAAAAATAGGTAAAATAGGAGAATTAAGTCATATTTCGAAAATAGTGTTACAGAAATAATGTCAGAATAATAAGGAAATAAATTTGTAATATATTTGGAGAACAAAGTTATATAAAAATAAAGTATAACTCGTAAAGAATAATACGACAAAATATTTAAACTTTCTTAAACATAACTTTTTGGGGTTTAGTGACAATTGTAACTGAGAAAACTGTAGTTAATAAATAAAACTAATCCTCAAAATTACACTTGCCTAATATGTTTTTTTATTTTTGTTATATTTTATAAAAAACAGTAAAAGTTTTATATTGCTACATATTTTCCACAGAATGCTTTTGATTGAAATATTCATGTCAAATATTTAATTTTCTGGTATTAAAACCTTGTAATGAAACAATTATCTGTCATAAACAGGAATATGATTAATGTTGAACCAGTCATTGTCATTGGGAAACTGCGCCATCTGGTGGACAAGCATAAAATATAATTGATCATTGATCGCTGATGGGTCAAAATGAATTGGATGTGAGATAAATTGATCAGAAATATTTTCTTTTTGAAAGTTTTCTTCTTGGAAACTTTTTTTTCTTTTGCTTAATCATTTTTAGATTAAATTCAGGAACTAAGAGGAACAAAAAATATTTTTAGTAAATATTCCCTTGTAAATTCAGGCTGTTTTTATGCAAGTCAGCAAAAGTATCTGGAAAAAAATGGCATACAATGTTTCCCCTCTGATCTTTGTTGGATAAGTCTGATGTACCTGCAGAAATGAGTTTTATTTGTACTTAAATTATTTGGAAGCTACAGATAAAATCCACATGGGTTTTAAATTACACAATAAATTACAATTAATTGTCAATTGATAGATTTATAAAGTCTGAAAATAAAAATTATTGGGTTAGTTGAGACTAAAGAGTTTCATCATCTAGTTTTTGGTAGAAAGAGAGAAAAGAGAAAAACAATAAATCATGCAGATGGAAATTATTGAGTTTGATTTAATTGATTTATTGATTATTGTGACAGGTTGAGTCATTTCTACAGATGGTAGCAAAATAGACAAACGGATCCAGAGTTGGTTGGAGGAATATCTGATGGCCGCCATGTTGGCAGCTCAACGTTAGATAAACAGATTTATAGAACAATTAGAATACAAAATACAGGAGATCCAAAGATATTTTATTTTAATACTTTAAATATTTAAATTCTATACATCCCTGAGTTTGTAGGAAGGTTTGCTTCCTACAAACGAATCGATTGTTGAAATAATTGTCAAAAACCAAACCAAACATTTTTAAATATCCAAAATAAATAAACAAAATATTAGGGTTAGGGTGAGGGGTAGGGTTAGGTTTAGGTTCAGTTCAGCTCAGTTTTGTCAGAAACGGAGGCAAAACAAAACGATAAATTATTTAAATGATTAAACTGAGCTTGTTGTAATTCGTCGTTTGTTGCGACAGGCCTGCTGCGAGTGTAAATGTTTTGTTTTCCAGGCGGGGCAACCCTCTGCACCTCTGCCCCGAGCGCTACAGGAAGCTGAACCAGCTGTGGCAGCAGCACTGCATCCTGGAGGAGATCGCCCGCAGCCTGGAGGTCGTCAACGTCATGTTCGCCTTCGAGTGGCAGCTGGTCTGAGCGCTTCCCCGACCCGCCGCCGCCGCTGCGTTTCCCCGCTCACACACACACACACACACACACATGCACGTATTTAAAGCCTTCCAGTCAGAAGAGGCCTGACCCGATCCGGAGCGGTGATGATGAGGACGTAACCGAAGTCGCCTTGATTCAGTCTGTTTTGCGGTGCGGATGAGTTTCACTTGGAGTGACGTTTTGCTTTGGTTTTCTGTTTCAGATAAACTCAAAACCTTCTTAAAAACATCGTTTTTAGTTCATAGATTTGATTTCCTCTGTGTTTAAAAGATTTTATGTTGAAGGGTTTAAATATGGTAAGGAATCCTATTTAAATCGATTTTTCCCTCCTGTGTATAGATAAAATATGGACCTATCAGCTCTCAGCTTTACTCCTGTATAGAAAACCCTCCTGTGTAACTTACTTTCAGATTCTCTCTTAAATAATAATGACATTTCCCACATGTATTAGTTTAAAATCCTTCAGAACCTCTAGGAAAATTAAAGTTTCTTGAAAAATTTCCATCATGAAATCCTTTCATTTAAACCAACAGTAAGCCAAAAAGTAAGCATGGTGTAATTACAATATACTGAAGGAATTGTTATGACACTTTGCCCTGTTTTTCTTTAGTCATGTTAACGCAATTTACATGAAAAATAATAAAGAAATGTAAGAAATGTACAATTTATTATATATATATTCTATGTGAATATATATTTTCTGTTTTGTTTGACTGTACCACATGACTTCCTGCTGTTGAAATAAAGAGAGATGCAAGCTGAATTTTTTTTTTCATACATTCAATACAAGTTAAAAGAAAATCAAAAGCAAATGAGGTGGATAAGCAGAGCTTGCTAACAAGGACAATGTGACTGGATGGCACCATCAGAGGCCTCTGCAGATTCGTCGCAACACTGACTGCTGCTGGAAATACTTTCATCCAGACTTTGAGGAAATTTGGATGATTCAACATTTAATTTTCCATTGAGATAAAAGTATTTTTGAATTTGAAGTCTCAACTAAAGAAACATTATTTTTTAAAATGGGACATTTTATATTAACATTGAAATGTAAAAACAGGTTTTAGCCAATTTCTCATGTTCTTTAAAGAAAAAGTAGAAAACTTTGAGATTAACCTCAGACATTTTTTTAGAAAAATCAAGAAAAGTCCTGACATGAAAAACGTTGAGTATTAGCTCGAACAAGAAACAAAAAACTAAAAATTTCAATTTGTAAAGTAGAACAATTCATAGAAAGCACTAATTTTTTCTAGAAAAAACAAGTACATCAATTTTGAGATTAAGCTCAGAAATTTTCAAGATTTGAAAAAATACTGAAAATGTCTGAAAAGTAGAAAATTACTAGAAAGGTTTTTGCAACAAAACATGGAGTTTTCTGAGCTTGAATAGTAAAACAGTAGGCTGGAAAATATACTGCTCAAAAAATAAAGTGAACACTCAAACAACACAATATAACTCCAAGTAAATCAAACTTCTGTGAAATCAAACTGTCCACTTAGAAAGCAACACTGATTGACAATCAATATCACCTGCTGTTGTGCAAATGGAATAGACAACAGGTGGAAATTATTTTCATATTTATTTCATTCATTCAGATCTAGGATGTGTTATTAGGGTGTTCCCTTTATTTTTTGAGCAGTGTAGCTCTGAAAATGTTAGACTAATGTCAGAAATGTTCTAGAAAACAGAAAATTTTAACCTTTTGAAACTCAGAAATTTGAGTTTTCTAGAAATTTCTAGAATTTTTGAGGGTTTTTTTTTCAGCAAATTTTTAACTTAAGATTATAAATTTCTAGGTTTTCTTTCTAGAAGGTTTCTGAGATTAATCTCAGGATGTGATTTTTTTTTTTAGTGGTAATTTTTACATCTTTTTATTGTGACGCTGCCCTCCGATCTGCCCTGTAGTTGCCCTCCGTGGCCTGTAGACGGCGCTGTTTCTCATTGCAGAGTGTTTCTGTTTTTCCTGCGTGTTTTAAGTGGCAGCCCCACTCTCTCTCTCTCAGTGTCTCTGCTGCTTCAGGAGCAACAAATTCTGATCTGGGATGTTGGGAACTCTCTGAATCCGCTGGTTGTGTTTTCCCCCTGCCGGTTCTGGTTCTGTTCCTTCCGCAGGATGGGTTCTATCATAACTTAGCTGTTCCAGACCTGTTGGAGGACTGCTTGCACGTTTCCACGCACCGGTTCGGACATGGAGGACCTGATCCGGCTCTCCGACCAGGACCTGCAGAGGTTCGGGAAGGAGGACCTGATCCGGACGCTGCGGGCTCTGCAGAACCGCAGCACGGAGGTGATGCTGGAGCACGGGAAGCTGATGAAGGACGTGAACCGCAGCCTGCAGGTCCACCTGCAGGAGATCCGGAGCCTGAAGGAGGTGAACCAGAAGCTGCAGGAGGACAACCAGGAGTTGCGGGAGCTCTGCTGCTTCCTGGACGATGACCGGCAGAAGGACCGGAAGGTGTCCCGGGAGTGGCAGCGCTTCGGCCGCTACACGGCCGGCGTGCTGTGGCGGGAGCTGGGGCTGTACCAGCAGAAGCTGACCGAGCTGGAGGCCGGGCAGGAGGCTCTGTGGGCGGAGAACGCCGAGCTCAAGGAGATCGTCCTCATGCTGGACGAGGAGAGGAGCGGAGCCGGGTCCCGGAGCTCCATCGACAGCCAGTCCAGCCTGAGCGGACCGGTGCCGCCCCGGGACGGAGGCGACGGGAGCAGCGGGGGGAGTCCGGACCACCAGACCGCCTACCTGAAGGGCTGCGGGGGGAAGGCGGGCCCTCTGCGGCGCTCCGTGGACGATCTGTCCGCTCATGGAGGCACCGGTGAGTTCTATCGAATCAAAATATATCGAAAGTAAAAAATATCGAAGAATCTGGTTCTGGTTTACAGAGTGGAGCATATCCACGAAAGTTCAGCGGAAGGAAAAAGTGTGCAAACTAAGTAAGATAAACTAAAAGTACAGATAATAATTAGTAAGTTACTTTCACTTGAGTAACGTTTTGGAAAAAAATTACTTTTGTACTTTTTTACTGCAGGGTAATTTTATTACTAAGTATCTGTATTTGAGTGAATAACTATACCAAATGAAGGACAAACATATCCAAAAATTCAGTTTTTGGTTAAATTTAATAAAGTTTTATTTTGTAAGAAACTGATTTTGAAAAATGTCTATTTTTCCTTATTTTTTGTCATTATGTTATTTATATTAATTATTCGCATTTTGTTTACACGTGACTTTATATTTGAGTCCTTATGATGTCATTTTAAGTTTTGATTAGTCACTCTGTACTTTTTACCAAATACTTTTTTACTTTTACTTGATTAAAATATGTTGAAGGTGTGCTACACTCACTTTAGTACAATATTTAGGCACTCTACCTATCTCAGATAAGAATACAAATATAAAAATGTCCATGAAACAGACCATGCTCAACATGGCTTTCATTTCTGATGAGAGTAATGAGAACAGAATAGAAAATAGTGGGACAGAAACTGTCTTTATTATCAAGCAAAGTGGAAATTCAACTGATTCAGGTAGAAATGATCAAACAAAAAGTTTTTAAAGTGTAATAATAATACTAATAATTAATAATATACTGTATTCTTCTCAGATCATATTCACAGTATGTTGAATGGAGGTGAAAGTAAACCAAACAAAATAAAAGTAAATACAATACTGTATGTGTGAACAAAGCAGTCCTCCATTTTAAGCAAATGCTAGATTATAAAACCACTCAGCTATAATAGCCAATTAGGTAAAAATCTCAATTTGCTTCCTGTTAACTCAGTTTTTAAAAAAATAGATGTTGCAGAAAAATTCACTGAAGTGATTTTTCTTATTTCCGTTCGACTTATTTTTCCTGTGCAGCTTTAAACCCTGAACTTATTCCGGTTTATTGGCCCGTAACATTTGGGAGTCGCATTAATCTGGAAAAGGAGAATTCAAAGTTCAGCTCATGTTGAAGAGAATTTAAATGTTGAATACAGATAACAGTTTATAACACGCTGGTTAAAAGCACAACATAGTGTAAATTTATAGTTATCATAACAGTATGTTTATCACTGAGAACAGTTATTTTTTGCTATGAACCCAAAGCAAATATATTAATGTTTCTAATTTTGGTTTATTTGTGGTAACCCATATTGTTACTGTAACAATCACCAATAGGATTGCATATTCCTAATATTGTGCATCTATTATGAATAAATGAGGATAATATCAAAAACTAGACTCATTTCAAATTCAAATATTTTAGGAATTAAACTTTTCCGTTGAGGCACATTTTTGTATTAAAAAAAAAACACCAAGCAGGTTTTTGGTGTCTAAAAAATGAGCCGTTTCAAAAACCTCAGGATTGTTAAGTCAGAAAATGGAATTGTGTCGTTACCTAGCAACCCCGGCTGAGCCAGGCCGTTCCCTAGCAACTGAAGTGGCGCTCCAGAATGTTTGGTCAGCTGGTTTTACCAGTGTAAAACCTCTGATTTTGTTCAAAAAATGTAATTAACATGTTTTGTAAAGCCTGTATTCAAACCGGTTCAACGAAGCATCGTCTCCAAGAAAGATAATCGTAATGAACAAAAGGTAAACAGTCACTGAAATAAATGAACTTTTCAGTAACGATCCTGAATAAAGAGCAGGTAACGTGAGTCCAACTTCAGAAGTATATTTTTGGCCTCACACACAGATGGTTTCTGTGTCGAGCCCGGTCGGCACAGATGGTCCCGTCGTGATGACTTCAACAGGTCTAATGAGGATTTAGCACCTTAGCTGTGACACTATGAGACAGAGCACAGATGGAGGATCAGTCGCCGTCGAGATGCAAGTCAGGAGTTTTCTTAATAGCAGATCTCAGAGTTTGTCTACTGAAGAGCTTAGAGTGAAAAACTGATCCTGACCAGACTATGTCTTGTATGGGTTCTGATTGACCCGCCTACTTTTACATCCAGTCCATTCAGAGATTTTATTTAATTGATCACACTTGACTATTTTTGTCAGTTTTCAATGAGTCCGTTTCTCTAGGACTGATTTCCCCTGAATTATATTTCACTTTTTACTTCACATGGCAAGTAAAGGAGTTGGTTACACATGAAAACATTATTTGTTGGGCCAATTTTGACCAGCTTTCTTGATGCAAACAAATGACTCGCAAATGTTTGACAAAGAGAAACTAACTTGGTTTCCTTGAAATCTTGTGTGAATTTTGGTATAATTACTAATTTCAGTGTTTTGGTCTCATCCATTTCCGGTGTGTTTTAGCTTTAGCGTTAGCTCACTTGATACATACTACATCCCTACTATTTCTACTGTGTTTTAGCATTAGCATAGAAGCCACACCCTCTTTCTCTGCTTTTCTTAGCTTTAGCTGCGGTGCAGATCTCACCAGATCAACAGCAAATCCCAGTTTTTGAGCTATAATGATGCACATTCTGTCACTTTTTCTGATTTTTCAGTAAGAACGTGGGTAAATAAATCTGACTTTGCCCCAGTGTTAATTTTTATACTCTTAATTCTGCAGAATTAAATGTGAAACAATATTCAGAATTATGTATCAGAAAATAAATAAGAGTAGATTCAGAACCTGCGGTTTTGCAATCTAAGAAGCTCTGTGTTTTATGTAAATATTCCCCAATACTGCCAATTTAGATCATCTCTGAAACACACACACAAAAAACAAAGTAATTTGTGTTTTGAAAAACTGTCAGGCCTTACAGGGATTTGTTGAGGAAAAGCTACTTAGTGATAATTTCCCACATTCCTGAGCGCACAGATCCCAGAAGCTTTGTGGGAAACAACCCTGATGTTGAAGTGATAAAGAGGCATTGTTTTATCCAGCATGGCTGGGGAAAATCCACCTGCTGGGATGAGACCGGCGAGGTGGTTAAACGGGGCAAATGAGCAATTAACATCGATGAATATGAGCAGAACAGATAAATCATTGTGCGAGTTTGCATTGTGCACATGCAGCGTTTTTTGTGTGGGACTTTCAGGGCGTGTTTGTGCTGAGGTCGAGTTTTTCTCTGCTTTCAGCCTCAGTTTCTTACAGCACCAGCAGGAATGTGACGGATTTTATTTAAAGGCGATTAATCTTCAATAGTTCCAGCAGTCAAATATTTACAGGCTCTGCTGTTGGGGAATATTTCCATTTTGTTCTGATAGCGCAGGAGGATTGAAATAATATGGAAATGTGAAGAATCATCTGAACTTTGAGTCCAGTTTATTTTAGTTTAGACCATTTCAATTTGATTCAGTTCAGCTTATTTATTTTCAATTTAATCTAATTTAGTTGAATTTATTACAATTCAGTTTGGTTGAATTTTATTTGGTTTAATCACAAATATCTCATAACTAGTTGATCTCTCAGTCAAGTTATCTAGAAAAAGCCAGTCACAAGACAAGTTCCTTACATGTGTGCTGGATGCTAAGCTACAGATGGCAATTAATAGTCTATAAGATTAAAATGAGTTTAATTCAACTGATTAATATCGTTCATTTAAACCTTCTTTTGCCTTTGCAATTCCCTTATGTAGTTTGGCCTCCATCAGGCAGAGGGCGCTGTTGGTCGTCCTTAAGCGGTTTGGACCTGTTTAATGATGTGTGAAAAGGGCTATTTTCTTTCTATTCAGTCAGTATTTAACACAGCTGATCCCAAAAATGGAATATAAACATTTATAAAAAATAAAAAAAGATGTGCTTTAACTCATTAATCGATAACATTGGTCAACAGCCAAAACACTGTCTGGGGTTTGTCAAATGTTTCAGGGTAATTTTGACGCACATTGGTTTTGCTCCATCAGGTCAACATCAAGCAACATGAGTATCAAACTTTTTCTCAGTTTGAGTTTCGTCCTAATTCAGTTAAAAAAAAAAAAAAGCACAACTTCCAAAAATATTTTTTGCAACCCAGTATAACTTTCATCCTCATTCTAAACTAATACAACCCAGATAAAGTCATTTTATTCTCTTTCCTTCCTTTAAGACAAACGTTAGAGACGAAGCTGAGAATATAAATCCTTAAAATCACTGCAGACCTATTAATCCTTTATCATTAGTCCTGCTGTAAAAGCAGCTACATCTCTGAACCAGTGCTTCTTTCTTTCCCAGTGATGTGGTGGTATTTTTCCCAGTTGGCCTCATTCCTGACACATTTGTGCTCCCTGCGCCATCTGTCTCTGCATTATGTGGCAGACAATGGAGGGGGGTGTTGCTCTTCAAAGAGTGGCTGTGCAGAGCTTCCCATAAACTCCCCCCCCTTCCCAATCCTCTCTGTCCCATCCTCTGTGGGACGGCCGGGGTCAGAGGTCGAGCCTCAGATTTTATGGGGGCCCCACCTCAGCTGACGTCTGTTTTATCAGTTCAGATGCGGAGTGGTGAACTAACAGGACCAGAAATGCACATGAACAGTGGTTAAACTGGGTTTTATGGGGGGTTGTCTGAGGTCAGGGTGAAGGAGTGCAGCTTGAGAATGGCTAAAGAAATATCTCATGGTGGAAATTCTGCAAACTCAGAGGAGTTCCTGGAAAGAGTTCAAGTAAAACAACCTTTTAATTTGTTGTAAGAGATAACTGTATCGTCTGTAAACGCAAACATTCGAGGGATTTTCAAGTCGCGTCGATTTGTATAGAAACATCGCATGTTGTTGACATCCTAAATTTCACATTCTCACAATGCTGGAGGCCAGAAAGACTTTTCTTTTACCTGCCATCTGTAGCTGCGCTGCCAAAGAAGAATAATTCTGTTAGAGAAATGAAACCTGAATATGTAAATACTATTAATGTAATGCAGTAAAGGGAAAATAACACAGAAAAACCATTAAAGAACAACTCAAAGCCACTCGTATACTTACTGTACATACAGACCCATTACCAAAGCAACTGACTGACAACAGCTCCACTACTGTATCAGGATTCAATGCAAGCTCCTCCAAAAAACATGCAAACATTTCTCAGACAAAAAGCAAAACATTCAGTACGATACAGTTTTATGTTTTCAGGGTTGATGTTTAGTTTGCGATTATTAATAAGTGATCGTCTGAACACAGTGGTGATTTATTTTATTAGGTCATTTAAGCACCAACTCTTGGTATGTTGGTTGTCTGTTCTTATTTCTCAACTGAACCACAACATCCCAAATTCTGCAGCACATCTACAGGTTATGGTTGTCATAGTCAAGCTAGCATAACTGACCTACTTCCCTCTTCCTTGCTAAATTTTTGTTTATATTTAAGAGAGGAAGCAGTTCCAAAAGAACATTATTCACTTTAAGATATTCTCTAACAAGCATTGACAGATTTCTAAATAAACCATTTCTCCTTTTAATTGATCTCCGATTGGTTTTGACAATCTCAAGAACTAAATCGGTTGAATTTCATCTCAAGAAGTTCTTCTGCAACAATCTTTATATTGGAAAAATTTAAACGTTCCAATTGGGTATCGGTACCTCAATAGATGCAGTGTTCGAAGTAAACTGGTGCCAGTTTAACCAGTTCAAACATGTTTGCAGGCTGTGGGGCTACTCCACTCTTTCAGCTTTTAATCTCCAGCTAATCCTTCCTTTACACCAATAATCTTTTTCCACTGAATATTGCTCTTATTTTCAAGCACTGTTGAGTTTTATGTTTTTTTAATCGCATGGGTTTCTTTAGAAAGAGACCTCATGACTTGTCTGAAACTCAGACTCTCACAAGGACTTCATTCTTTTGCTGCTTGGTTGTTTTTTATCTACTAAAACGTTGGTCGTAAAACGATGTACACAGTTCACGAGGCAAGATGATGCACAATAAACGGTTCCCAAGACTTTTTAAATAAAACTTGAATGTCCCACTTTGTGTTTATGAAGTTGAATAAAGAGTGAAGAATAACAAATCAAAAGTTCAGTCCAGGTTTGACTCTAAGAGCAAAAAAATAAGCATTCAAATATTTGTAAGTATATTCTTGATCACAAATGCTTCGAAAAAAACATCTGTTCAGTGAAGAATAATGTCCAGCTTTGGTAAGTTTAAGTATTTTAGATTTTGTTCTAGAAGTGTTTAAATAGTACCTATGTTAGCCAACACAATTTAAAAGTGATCAGAGAAAGTTTAATGCTACTTTAACCAGAGGAAGACACACTGACTGAACCGGACAGTTGCTTTAGACCAATTTACTCTACATTGGATCACACAAACCTGTTGCACTGAAACTAAAAGTCTAATTAAAAATGCAGAAACTGCATATTCTAATGTTTGCTTTAAGATCGTGAACATACCAAAGTACACAAAATCAACTGCTTCATAACCAACAACAGTAAAATACTGGACATGAGTACATTTAAAAAGTACTTATGGTTTGAAAACTAGTGGCTCTAATAAAGTACCCTGTAGATTTCCATCACTAAGTTTTTGTGCTTTAAATATGTAGCTCTGACCTCAGTTAGTTTCCAGCTTAATATGTTTTCCAAACCAATTGGAAACATTAACATGTTTTCCTTCCTAATGCAGAAAGAGAATCTACTATAAGTTGGATACTTTATCCAAGACTTGATGTATAAAACCTGTTAGGACTCATCTGAAAGCACCCAGAGATTTAATTAAACCTGAGTGAAAATGGTCTCTCATTGGTATTTCAATGTCCGCCATGTTAGTGTCTTCATGTGGAGACTCACTGGCACTAAGACAGGAAGGAAGGTTAACTGATCTGTGCTGACCGTCTGTAATTAAAGGATGCCCTCTGTTTTATTTTGTCAGCACAATCTGCTCTGGTGTGTGTGAGGTCAGCAGCTTATCTGCAGCGGTGACTTTCACTACTTCTGCCAGGACGTTACTTTTCTGGACACAAATCAACAACCCAACGAACAGCCATGTCTGCTCATTGGACCTGAAGTGGTTCTGCTTGTAGGAGTTAATTGAAACCTCACCAGAGGAACGCTGTGAGCGTTTTGTTGCAGCGAGCGCCTCACTGTATTTCCCTGCTGTCATGCCAGATGAAAATAGATTTATGGAAGTCTGTTTACACGGCAAGAATTTCAAACTGTGGCATCAAGTGACGCAAAGTGGGTGTGGAACCATGTTGTGTTTTTCCCCCAATAAATCTGCCACATGTTTTTATTCAGAACAGCTTAAAGTTATTTCTGGATAAAGTTTTAGTCAGAACAGACTGTGGTTAAAACCAAGGTTGACATTTTCAATTCCTTGTAAAGTGGCATCAAAATAATGTACACATGGGAAAAAGAAACGCTTTGATGTAAGAAGCGTTTTACCCCCAGAAAGCTTCCGGGTGTAAAAACTAAACATTTCTTCTTGCTACAACTGCAAACTGTAATTAGTCTTGTGTGCAAGACCAACACAAAGTAAATATGTTTTTATTTGGTTAACTAATAAAAATCTGAAAAGTGAATCAAACTCCTTAAAGATAGTTATTCTTACTGCAGAGGTGTCTTAACTCATTTTCATCTTGGGCCAAATTAAGATCATAAAGCCTCTTAAAGAGCCGGTTGTGCAAAAAAGTGTGGGGATTTGTTCATTTTGTGTGAATTGTCAAGAAACTGGAGGGACTGATTGATATAACAGATAAAAACTGCATTAATTTGATTGGTAACATATGCTTTAGAGATATGAATTTGCCAGCTGTGTACATCTACAGATATACATTTTCATCCATTCAGCTGAAGTTCAGTCAGATTAGATGGAGAATTAGCAAGTCTCGCTAAAGTTTCTCTGGTGGGTTTTGATCAGGCAATTGGTCACAATAGATTCTGTTTAGGAGTTTAAATGTAAACAATCGGTTAGATACAAATTCATCCCACACTTTTCAGGGTTTTTTATATAAAGTTTAAAAACCATGCATTTTTTTATTCCCTTTTCACAATTATGCCCTACTTTGTGTTGATATGTGGTTGTAGCTTGACAAAGTGTGAATCGGGGTATAAATAATTTGGATGATTGAATAAAAAAGGTCCACTGACCTTGTTCCCAGTCAGGAAATACTCAGGAAACTCTGAGGAGACCATTAGATCCTTAATGGTCCCTGAAGATCCTGGAAATGTTGCCATTTTTAATCTCTTGACTCAGTGTAATGGGGCCTTCAGGAGTGAATGCAAACATGTCTTTAAATCAAAAATCCTGAAAATAATGTTAATGTTCTCTAAGGTTTTACAAGAACACAATAGGTTTCTTCTCTAAATGTATGTTTTTATCAAAACTGTGTATTACATGTGATAATTTAAAGTTCTTTTTCATCAGTATTTTCAGTCAAATTAGGTGAGTAATCAGCCTCATTTTTAATCTCTTGATTTAACCTCTCAGGTCAAACCTGCAGAAACTCATCCTGGAATATCTTAAATTGTAATTATGCTTGACATGAAAGTATCTGTGAGGTGTATCAGCGAACAGCATGCCAGTCACCTGTAGAGAGCTGTGCCCTGCAGCAACAGCATCAAACGAAATCAAAAACATCTGCTTGGATTCCACTGTTCACTGAAATAAAAATTAAAACCTGTTCACATTTACAACAGCTACGGCTTTTATTGCAGGTGAAAGTTTATGACAGAACAGGTTTCATTCCCTGTCAGTGGACCTTTTGTGCCAGAAATTCCTCCCCGTTAACGGAAACGTGCTTTGAAATCAGCACGTGCGTTCAAACGCTGGGGTTGGGTCTCGCTAAATACTGGGATTTCGCGACCAGATTAGTCGACTTAACTGGAATCCGTTTTGAAAAAAAAAAATCAAGAATGTGTTCTCAGCTGCAGGTGCAAATTAATTTGCGTGGGTTAGTATGTCTAAAAAACGCACATGAGAATATAAAAAAAAAATCTGATTTATAAGCTTAAAAATTAGATTCAATTGGGGTTTTTTGTCAATATCTTTTTAAAACTGAGATTGCTTATTGCTTCTACAGTAATTTTCTCAATCACAAGGATGAGTTATTAAAATTAGAATGTTTCTTTAGGAATTTACACCAAACTGTCACTGAAACATTAACTAATGTAGTATTTATGTGGGTTTTTTGTAGATATATCAGAGTGCTACATCAGAGAGCTAGAGAACAAGGTGAGGATCCTGGAGGATGAAAAGAAACTGCTGACAATGCAGGTAACTTTTATTCTTGTATTCACTTTATTTGACATTTATTTGCTGCAGGCCCCTTAAACAAGTTTTTAATTACAGCGTTTTGTGTCAGTGACTCTGAGTTGCAACATCATGTCAGGACTTGTGTTGTCTTTGCAGACGTGACTCATAAAATCAAATTTATCAGCATCAGTTACTTTTTAAATAATGCAGCACTTTTTATTGATTTTACAATAATGCTAGTTTGGTTTTTAAGAGGCCACTTTATATTCTTTACGGTGTATTTCTATCTCTACTGCAAAAACTAAAATTTTTACCAAGTAGTTTTAGTACCAATGTCTTTAAAAATAAGACAAAACTAACATGAAAGTAACTTTTCACCAAGATGCAGGAGTTATTTTAAGTCAATAATTCCTTTCCATTGATGAAATAGTCCTAGTTCCACTATAACATAAAGTGTTGTTTTGCTTGGTATTCTTCTTCTTTATTTTTAATACAAACATGATTGTGCTTAAAACGTTTATTTTTGGGTGTTGCTGCTCTCAGTTTTGGTCTGGGACTGAGTAACACATCAGGCTTTGGTCTGATTTGTATTAGAGAACGCAGTGACCTATTGATGAGCCCAACCAGAGCAGCTGACTCCTGCCAGTAAATGCAAACACTGCAGCTCTCCTGTCACGTACGGCTTCAGCAGCCTCCTTTTCTCTATATAGTTTGATTTCTTTTACCTGTAAATCCTGAAGCATATGAATGAAAACCATGAAATATAATATTGGCTTTGGTTGAAGCTGTAGTGTTTTTTACACGTCTGTTTAAATCGTTACAGAATTGACCCTCTGCAACTATGTCACTTAATTAAGCGACATGACGTTCAGTAGTATTGAACGGAGTGACTGCGATTGTTTTTCTTTTTGCCAGCATAGCCATGGCTTTACTTGATTTTCTGTGGAAATAGCACACCTAGTTTGGCCTCCTAGATGGCGCAATTTATAAAAGCTGGAAATAGTTTAGATACCGATCCATACATTCTCCCTCCTGACCTGTTTGTCGATTTGATGAGATCTGCCTGAATTTACGCCACATGATTCAAACCACCACGTTATAAAAGGCGTTACTACAGAAGAGTATTTGTGAACCTGGACTGAACCTATCCCAAATTTATTTGGTAGATTTGAATTTAATGACTGGATTTGCCATAAGCAATTTAAATAATTCAGATTTGGAAATTGTCAGAATTTTGAGAAAAAAGTAAAGTCTGAATTCTGAGACAAAAGTCTTAATTCTGAGAAAAAAATCGGAATTCTACAAAAAAGTTGGAATTCTGAGGAAAAACATCAGAATTCTGAAAGAAACGTCGGAATCCGGAAAAAAACAACAACAAAAAAAAAAACATCGGCAATCTGAGAAAAATTTCTGAGTCCAGAGAATTACATCAGAATTTGGAGGAAAGAAGTTAGAATGTTTCAATACTAAGAAAGTCGTAATTCTGAGAAAAAGTCAGAATTTTGACAGATTTTTTTATGTTTGTTCTCGTCAGAACCATCCTCGGACTCCCAGTGGAGAACTGTCCCCCACAGGGTTCTACCTGCCTCTGGCACAGAAACCCGAAGCTGTGGTCCATGCCATGAAGGTAAACTCTGAACACTGTGCGGTAAGAAATATTTTATTATTCTGTAATTGATTCTAAGTGTGTGTAGGTGCTGGAGGTTCATGAGAAGCTGGACAGTCAGAACTCCAGGGAATACAATGAAGACCTCAACGATAAGGAGAAAGCCATCGTCAGAGAGATGTGCAACGTGAGTTTCATTCTTGATTCAGTGTTTCTCCTGAATACTTTCAGAGTTGGGTTGTAACTGGGTTACATTTACTTTAGCAACTTTTTTAAAAAATCTATATTTTTAGGAGTATTTTTATTCCTATCAGGAGTAATTTTATTTTGAAGTATCACTACTTTTGAGTAAAACGTCTGAAGGTTGTTTTAACCAGACACACACTCACCTGCAGTTTTGATACAATTTCACGTTTTATATTGAAAAAAAGATTCTTTTTTTGTTTTGCATAAATTTGAAATTACATGTTACTTATATTAATCATTTTCATTTTGATTCTTAAAATACCAAAATACATTTGGCTGGTCAAATAATATAATGTTTGTGTATTAAATGGTTGCTGTTTTGATCAGTTAATATTTGAGTTGACTTTTTACCAAATATTTTTCTACTCTTACTCGAGTAATTTCTTCCTGTTAAGCGCTGACAGCTGTATTTCTTGCCTTGCAGGTGGTTTGGAGAAAGCTGGGCGACGCTGCAGGCACCAAGCTCTCTGTTCGACAGCAGCTGTCAGGAAACCAGCTCCAAGATCCGGTCCAGTAGGAGAACCCACCACCAAACCCACAGCATGATCCTCAAACGGATGCAGTCGGGGGAAATGGACACACCTTTAACTACACAAATGCACAAAGTTTCAACAGTCCTGGACAGGATGCTGAAACGGCTCGCTGATGCCACCATGTGGATTTACTGTGTAAATACAGTTTTAAATCGGTATATGTTCAGATCCATCCACAGTCTTCCACTTTCCTGAGATCTCAGAGGTAAGCGGTCCAAGGCGTCCTTCTCCCTACTGACTCCAGATCGCTTGGACCCTTCATTGGGTTCTGGGTCTCCCTTCATCTCTATCGACGACATCCTCCTCTACAACTGGATTTCCCCCCATAAACTCAGAGGGGACCTCTAAGGGAGCCGATTTCAGTCTAACTTGGTAAAAACCAGCCCCTTTCTCTACGCTTTGCTTCCCACAAAGAGCCTGAGCCATCGGCGGCAATTCAGAAACGATCGCTAATGGCTAACGGTCGGCCGTGACGTATGCAATGCGCCAGTATCGCCCCAATGAAGCTCATCGGAAGTTGCCTGCTTTTTATTTTTAAACAGCCGTCCTCCATTGTGAAGAGAAACGCATCGAGCTGAACGAGACGGCTGTGAATGTTAGCTTAATATCTGGAAACATGGCCCACACGCACTGAAGGGTTCCGTTCACTTCCTCTGCTAAAACTACAGACAGACTACAACTGTAAAACAGCGCAGAAAATCGACGTCATCGTTCTCGACGTCTTCTGTTCGCTGATTGGCCGGTTGGAATGCTAAATTCTAAATCCGAAGCTTCATATTTCAGCTTCACCAGGACAGACTGGAGAATTGTATTCATGAAGAGACAAAGCTGTGATTTATCTGCCTGTTTTCTGCGCCATTCTGCAGTCACGCAGAACCACAGCATTCAAATTTTTTTATTTTTTTAATTTTAGAACCACAGCATTCCCTAGGTTTCCACAGGCCATAGTGACGTCGGCTCGTCTGGCGCCGCCATTTTGTTTGACAGTTAACGACACAATATTTGGGCCAGACTAAGATTTAGTTTTATTCTTAATTACGAGAATTAAGTCACAATTTTAGGGGAATTGAGTAGTAATAAAATAAAAGTACCTAACCCAAACTTTTTTTTCTAATTTTTTTTTAACTTCCCTGCTAATATTATGACTGCATATTCTCATAATTAAACAAAAATTCTGGTAGCCTAGCCTTAATACTAAAAAAAGGGGAGGGGGGTACTTTTTGGTAATTTATAATTTCTTTTTTTCTTTTTTCGAAAAGAAAGCAAGGGGATCAAATCAAATTGGAAATTGCATCTGGTAAAAAATCGGAGATTTAATTTTCATACCATATCACCCAGCCCTACGCAGAAACAACACACTCTCTGTGTACCTTGTTAGGTACACCTTTTCAGTTGCATGCAGAGGAGAATGGACAGACAGTGTTGAGATATAAAGGCGATATTAGGTTGAATAATTGATTATTACTTCAGTGAATACACCCAGAAGGAGAAGTTCACCTTTAAGTCTCAACAGAATCACATCTTTGGCAAACATGATGAACTGTCCCAGCCATGCTGCAGCTTTTCCTTCCATCTTAGCACAATGTTTGACGTCTTTTAACATGGCTGGCTAATGCATATCCTCTAAATAGCAAGGACCTTTAATTCATCTACATCAGAGGAATATGAAAGCATGTTTTTGCTTCAAAGTAATTTTTTAAAAGAATCTCTTCTTAGAAATTTCAGTTGCCTACAGCTGAAATAAAGTTGCTGTCTGTTGCTTGTTTGTGCAGAACTGAAATTAGAGGATGATGTGGAAAATCTCAACAAAATCAGTGCAAACACTTTCTAATAATCCAATTATTTACACTGATTTGTTCCCCAAACTCCTGAGCAACCTCAGATATAAATGCTTTACCTTGAGCCTGATCTGACTGAGGAAACAGAGGATCAGTTTTCCACAAAGTTTGTTGTTAATTTGATCCCACTGGTGTTTAAGAGTATGTACTATGTGCTCCCTTTCTGTCAGGAGTAGATACGCTGCCTTAATGTAGATTTTACAGCTTATATATCTGTTAAGTAAATGGAGTTTAGCTGGATTTTAAACCTGCCCACAGTGATTCAGAGTTTTCTGTCTAAAAATAAACACAATACTTTAAATTAGGTTTTATGGTCTGAAATAAATGCTTTTGTTTGTAAGTAAAAAACGAGACGAGCACATTTTATTGTATGGATTGGTGGAAAAGAAAAACATTAGAAACAGCTGGTTTCTGTATGTGTGTATGTAGCTGCAGATGTATTTTAGCAAACCTGTTATTCATGAGAATAGCTTAAGAAAATGAAAATACTTTTAGATGAATATTAAATTTTTTTTTATAAATGTGTGCTGCTTTATTGCTTGTTTAAATTGCCATGTGTGAAGAAATGTTTATTTCAATTTCCTATTTATTCAATCTATATTCCTTACACATTACACTATTTTTTCTTTGCTGCTAAAAATCTAAAACTAAAAAATATCTAAATGATTTCAGGAAATTCATAGTTACAAAAATAAATAATAACATAAGTAGGTAAAATAACAAATTGATGATCACAGGAGCAAAAAATTCAAAATGATGTTGAAATTAAATAAGTCCAAGTATTGACATTAAATTAATCTAGTTTAATGCATGGGTTAAAAATCTCTTTATTGTTGGTGGTGCTATTGTTGGTTTTGTAGTTTAATTAATCAACTATTTATTTTTGTATCTTCATTTTGGCAGTTGTAGTCTTCCATATTAATTTAGAAGTAGGAAAAATGAAATAACAGCAAAATTTTATTCCACTTACTGACTCTGCAAAATGAATTGATGAATTAAAGCAGTTGTTTGGCCACAATCTTTCCCAGGGAGAATTAAAACAATAAACTATGTACTTTCAATTTAAAAAAAAACATTTCCTCTTATAGGATTTTTTTTCTGTATGTTTTTAAGACTCAGACATACTAAATTTGTTTATAAGAGGCCATTTAAATTGTGGCACATTTGAGCTTCCATATACAGAGGTAGAACAGCATTATTTCATGTATCCCTGAGTTCATATTTACTGTTTTCAGTTCAGCTTGTTTGCGTCATGTGAAAATAATAACAGGTGAATTTGTGATGATCTCACTGTATGTATTGCACAGCATCACTTTACAGACGGCAGAAATGTAAATACAGTTTACCGTAGAGAAGTTCTCATCCCAGTTATTTACTTTTGGAACTGAAGGAGTAAGTAATTACTGAAGCTACACCTAATATTTCTGCAACTACAACATGTGACTGTTGAGTTCACTCTACTTGTTTTTCACACTTTGACATGTGAATGAACAGTCATGATACATGTTTGGATCACACTTAAGGTCAAGGATGAAGACACCATAAGATTTGTTCTATCTCACTCGTCTTATCACCGGTAAACTGCTAAAACAATAAAGATTTACGATGCTCAGGATCAGATATGAGTCTGTCAAAGTGTTTTTATCCTAAATAGAAACCAAATCACAAGAAACGACTGAACAATGATGATTATAATAAAATAGGAGTACTGATATAAAGAAAACAGGAGTTAAACTAAATGTTTAGGAGTCATATCACATTTTATACTCAAAATCCACTTCAGTGCATAAAGTTTATGTTTTGGTCTCCTAAGTTTTTTCTTTTTTTGACATGTATGACCAGGATGTTTTGTTAGTAGCAGTAGAGAAACTTAGGCTCATAATGTATAATTTATCAACAGATGGAGAATGGGCAGAAATGGTATAAAAAACGTAAATATCCATCTTCCTTTTGCCAAAAAAAACAACAACAACAAAAGAAAACATCTTGATAATTCTCAAAACTTTTGGGAAAAATATTTGTTTCTTGACGGGATGAAAGAGTTGAAAGTGGAAAATTTTGCAAGTTATGCTTCCTGTCACATTTGACATAAAACTGGAGCATCACTTCAGGATACGAACATCACGACTCAGTAAGCCTAACTCGAAAGTTGATGAAAACCAGATAAAAAAAGGTAATATTTTGTTATTGCAGTGTAACAACACAGCATGTTAAAGCCTAGCTGCTGATTTACAGGCAGACAGTAGATGTTTAACAAAAGGAGGCGTCCTAACATCATGCAGGGCCAAATAAAACTCTCAGTGACTGTGTGAGATTCTCCTTTTACTTCTCCTCCTCTTTCCTCTCTCCTCCCCTCAGCAGCACAGGGAGAAACTTTCACACAGCTAATCTAAACCCAGCAGCAGCTCCTGATTCCAGGAAAAGCTCAAAGGTTTTTTACCTCCAGCAGTTTGGAGTTTGCAGAGTTAGCATGCCTGACAGCTTGTCCATGGACCTGGAGAGAAAGGAGAAGCGGTACTGCATTCGAGGCAAACATGCAGCCATCATCTGTGCAGCAGTGGTGGTTTGCTCCTTGGCTGTTGGTTTAGGGGTTGGACTCTCTAGACCCTCCTCCTCCACTCCTGAATCCACACCAGCCCCTACTGGAGCCCCAACTGCAGCCCCAACTGGAGCCCCAACAGAGTCTCCTCCTTCTGATAGGGGGCCCTGTCTGGCTTCATCAGACTCCAGCGGGGACTGGAAAAACTTCCGTCTGCCAGATTACGTGAAGCCGATCCACTACGACCTGCACCTGGAGCCAAACCTGGTGGATGACACTTATACAGGCACAGTGGACATCCAGGTGGAGGTGAGCAGATCCACTCGCCACCTGTGGCTGCACATCAGGGAGACGTTTGTCAGCGCCAAGCCCAGGCTGAAGGTGCAGGACAGCCATGGGGTCCAGACAGAGGTGGAGGTCAGCCGCTGCTTTGAATACAAACCTGAGCAGTATGTGGTGGTGGAGGCCACGAAGGAGCTGCCCGCCACCAACACAGGAGAGGTTTATGTGCTCAGTCTGGACTTCCAGGGCTGGCTCAACGGATCGGTGGTGGGGTTCTACAGGGTCGTCTACACAGAGGAGGGGAAGACCAAGTAAGAAAAGACTCATTAAAAAGACTCATTAACCTGATTATTTATTGAAATAATCAGGTTAATCAGTATTAATTGGGTTAATCATAACTAATCACAATTAATTATGATTAATTGATTATTTAAATAATTGTCAACTAATTTTGTAATACATTTTCAACTGGATTTAAACAAAGACTATTTCATAAAATAGATTAAAGCAGTAATTAAAACTATCTTATAAATAACTTTTCAGCAGTATATCAGAGCTTGCTTTAGTAAATAATTTTTTATTTTAATTTTTAAAAGTATTAGTTTTATTTATTTCACTTATAACAATGTATTTTCTTTATATTACAGGAGAAATAATCTACCAGTGGAATTAATGAATTAATTAATATTACTGACTTATCTACGTAAAGCAAGCTTCTCAATGAGAAATTGGTTTGCAGCAGTCATTATATTTACAAAATACATCCATAGAAGACATTATGTTAGTACAACACAAATATCATGAGAAATAATTGCTCCTATTACTCTCAAATCCTAACATCACAAAACATAATGTCCCATAGGATTGCCCTGGTGCATTAAAGTGCATTGTGCTCCCAGAATAACAAGTCTAGTTTGAGTCATAAGATGTTGATAGGAGCTTTTAGTTTCTACATCTCCATTTTCCTACCAGGAAGATTGCTGCAACTGATCACGAGCCGACAGATGCCCGGAAATCATTCCCCTGCTTCGACGAACCAAACAAGAAAGCCACCTATAAAATCTCCATCACTCATGACAAAAACTACGGCGCACTTTCCAACATGCCACCAGAGGTAGGACTGCAATCCAAACCAGGGATTACTCAAGAAATACTGAAATGTTTCACAAGAAACTGTAAAAACATCCCTATAGCTACATTCACACTGCAGCCTGTAGTGATCCAATTCCGATTTTTTGTCAAATCGGTTTTTTTTTTTTTTTTTTTTTTGGCGTGGTCGTTCAGATTTCCAAATAAATGGAAATCTGAACAACCTGTATGTGTTCTCCAGTGTGAACTGTAAACGACCTGAAAGTGTCCCGCATGGGCAGTAGAGGGCGCAATAACTTCACACATAGAGAGCCAACCGCCATAAAGAAGAAGTGTTCGTGGACTTGAATATGGATGCTAACGGTGGAGCACAGCTTGCGATTTTTAAGTTGTTGTCCGATTGAAGCCAGATCAGTAACAACTTAATCCTCATTTTGGGCCGTAAGGGGTGTTGATTTTCTTCTCACTTGAGCGTTTCAGGACGCAGAACAGTGACATTTTGTCGAGTATTGATGATATTCAGGTCGGATGAACGCGACCTGGTCGTTACGTCACATTTGATGATACCTATCGGATATCCAGGCCTGGTCGCATTAAAAAAAAAAATCGACGTGTGTTGTTCAGACTGTCATGAAAATATCAAATACAGGTCAATTACGTAAACAAAACCGGAATTTGGTCACTTCAGACTGCAGTGTGGACGCAGCCTAATTTACGTAAACTACCGGCAGCTGCGGTTGCGCGTTTATACGGTAATTTACGGTAAGATTCTGTTTCCTCCCGGTTATGATAAATATGTCGACCACATCCGGATAAATTTGAGTGAATAATCGGTCTCTTTCTGACCACAACTATCCAATCAAACCTGGGTCACCAATTAAAGATGAATAAATACATTGATTGAAAATAATTTCGCATGGATGACGTCACCCTCATCCATCGATGCAAGTCTAACAACTTCTTCCCAAAGGCTTTAATGGAAAACAAGTGTTTGCCTCAAAACAGGAAACCCGGTAAAAGGTTCATTTCCATTGAATTCCCATTATGGGAAACTCATCAATCTCCTCTTGTGGTTAATCTATAATTCATTGAATCACAGACAGTAACTTGCAGTGAAAACAAATATGCTGAATTGTGCTTTTTTTGTGTTTTATTTATCTTCGAGTAAAACCCATGTGTTCCTTTTGAGTCTTTTAGCATCTTTTCGCTTAATTTTCTTCACTTTTCTTTCATTGAGTGCCGAGAAAAGCTAAGAAAAAATGACTAATGCATTATTATTTATGATTTATTATCTATCCAAATTAGCAGCTAATTTCCCCAAATATTCTAAAGAAAAACTTCAAAATTTTAAATGCTTTCAATTCCTACGTACCTCTGAAAGCACAGTTAAGTAATAATTTGACAGTTACTTTTACTGCAGTATTATTTGACCAGTAGGATCAATACTTTGACTCAGTACTTTGTCCACCGCTGGTAGAAGTTGGTAGTTTGGCAATAAAATACTTGGAATATTGAAATTTTGGAAAGCAAAGTAAATATGTTCCTCATGTAACCTTACACCAAGTCCATTGGGAGTTTATTGTCTAGTAATAGAAATCAACAACTGTTTTGTTTTTGCATCAAAATTCTAACCATTGATT